CCACTGGGGTCACCCAGGGTGAAAGAATGTTTGCCTTGGACCTCATCCCTGACAACAGCATGTCACACTTTGGAAGAGAAACTGAACCGGGAATTGGTAGACAGAGAACACAGAGTCCCCTGGAGTTTTCAGGGAGATGTTTGATCATCCTTCTCAGACTTCAAAAAACTGTAATCACACCAGGCTTTTAGAGGCCTATGCCCACAGATGTCTGTTTTCTCCCTGTTCGGGTTCCGGGAGAAAGAGAAGACCCTGACATATGTTTGTAACCAGAAAGGACCTGTGGGCGGTTGAGGGGGCTGACCATGAACCCTGTGCTCACTTCCAGTTTCCGAGGCTTCACTCACACTGGCCTAAGCCCACCCAGAGAAGATCAGGCCCCTCATCAACAAAGTGGTCAGTATCTACTGACCTCTAATCAGGGCTCAGCAAATTTCTGGGAGCTGAAGGAGGAGCTAAGACCTAATAATTATCTTACAAAGAATCCTTACCTCCCGACCATCACATGGGAAGGCAGGGCAGCGTATAAAAAAGCACTAACACTGGGAAACCTGTGGCATTCTCTGGAGGTTCCAGGCTGGAAAAATGTCACTGCTGAGTCCATATTTTAAGATAACTGAACACTGTTGCATGAAGTATCAATAATATGCATTATCTACACTTGACTTTGCAAGCTCTGCACTGACGGGCATCTACTTTATCCTCTTGTGGGTCAGCTAAAAGACTCAGGAAAGCTGCTTTCTCTGTACCTCCCCTTCTTCCTGTATAAAGCACATAATTCTATCTGTCTGATTCCTACTACAGAGAAGCGTGGAAGGCGGGTACATAGGATCTGTAGGATGCTTGGCATTAACTGGAGATTAGCTGTTTGTGAGACAGAAAGGGCCACCACCAGTTTGGGTGCTAGAGAGAGCCAACATAAACACTGTTCCCTTAAAAGGGATGCTAATCATCTGTGCTTACTTACCAAATCATTGGCTGAATTGTTTATAAACAGTGGACTGTCCAGAATTCAATGTCAGCTTCAGTGTCAGAACTCAAAGTCGGCGCAGCTCTCTGATGCATGTCAAAGCTCAAGTTCTCTGCCACAAATAAATGCTCCGCATTCCCTGTACAGTGCCGCCCCTGCACAAACACACTTCTCTCGTGTTGTGCTTATTTTAGCTGTACAGTCTGCTGATGGAATCCTTAGGGTTGAAAACGTCTGATGAACAAGAATGCTTACAGCTGAGCGGGTCCTTTGGCTCTTGCAGAGGCAGTGATGGGCCCCAGGCAGGAGTCAGCTGAAGCACCAAGTGGTGGTACCGCAGTAATGACACACAGATGTCCTGTGATATGTCCCAAGACTAGACCATGATGCCAGAGCCATGACCTGAAGTGAAGGTTCTGTGGACTGCTTTTGGGAAAGACTGTATTTATAGCAACAGACAAGAGAATTTTCTCCTGTTTATCTTTACCCCTCCCTTTCATACAGGACAGCTGGAGGACAGAGGTGCTCCCTCAGTGGCAGCCAAAGAGTGGTTCAGACAGTAGGGAAAACCAGGCTTCTATTTTTTGTGTGTGTTTTTTTGGGTATGTGTACAAAATCCAATGACTATTCACTAAGCACCTGGCATGGACCAGGTACCGTGGGCTACAAGGGTGTGTAAGGGACAGCCCCTATCCTTAGAGAGAGCACAGTCTATTAATAAAGAATAGAAAGCAAACTAAAGTCTCCATTAGGTTGAAACAAATGACACACAATATTAAGATCCAAAACAGAGTCAAGGATGGGAAACTTCCCATTCATTTCTCATACTTGCTGGACTAAAATAAGAGCCATAAGAGAAGACAATAAATACCACAGGACTGGACACTACTCTCATTACTTTAAATATATCACACTTGTAAGTCTCACCATAACTTTGTGTGTTAGGTACTATTAGCATCTCTATTTTAGAAATAAGGAAGCAAAATGGAGCAGAACCAAGGTACAGAGAGGTTATAAAACTCAGAGAAGCTCACGCAGGAGCACATGATAGACCTGGGACGGGAGCCCAGCTGTTTTGCTCCAGAGCACGTCTTCTTCCAGAGTGGGTACCACTCTCTCTAGAGTGGGTCACGGAGATTCTGGGATGAAAGTATGCATTTTTGGAGGGAACTGGAAAAAGCTTTATGGATAAAGTGACATTTGAAAGATGCCTTGAAGACAAAATCCAAGAAGGATTTTTCCTGACTGGGAGGCAAAGAAGAGGGAATTTCTGGCAGAGGAGCAGCTATGAACGGCTGTAATGAAGCAGGAAGGCAGGGGCACAGACATGGGGGTGCAGCGTATACAAGTGAAATAAGGCTAGAAAAGCACCTGGGGCCCAGGTGGTAGGCTTCCCTGAAAGCCAGCAAAAGGAGGTTCTTTATAATTTAGAAAATGCAGGTGAGCTACAGAAGATGCTTGTGCAGGAGTACCGCTGGATCAGAGGAAGAATGAATGGGAAGCAGAGAGCAGAACAGCTTGGAACGGGGCAAAATGGGCGGTAGGGAAGAAAAATCAGGAGGCCAGGACAAGAGTCCAACTAAGAAAGTATAATAAGAACCCAACAAGCACCAGGACGGTTACTATAATAAACGTTCCTTCCAGAAGTGTTTTTTATTGAAAAGTAACTCATGATTGTGAAGAAGTTGTTTGTGCACTTGTACAAATTGGCCGTGCCTATCTAATATGGTATCTTTTGAGATCCTTTCAAAACCTAACTCTGACCTCAGCTGCTGCTATTTATGTTCACAATGTCTGTTTTCACAAAATCTTGGGCTAGTTTGTGCTCCGAATATAAGTCAATGGAAGTTTCATTTTTCTCCAGTGGAGGTGAAAATGCCACTGATAACAACTCACACCTTCTTAGTGATATGCGATAAATTCCATGAAAAGGAATGACTTTACATAATGAGAAATAAAATGATTGGAAAACACAAGGGACGTGGAACCCGAGGTGTTTGCTGCCTTCTTCAAAAACATTAAACAAGTTTTGCTTTTCTTCTACCCACCCTCATCACTCTCCCCAGCAGCAAAGAAGCACCTTTCTTTATGGTAAGTTTGGGCCATTCCTTTTTAAAACATGACCCACATGCCTATATGTCTCTTTCAACTGAAACTCCCTCAAGACCCTTCTTATCCTGACTGTGTTTTTGCCCATTTCTATGCCTTTACATAGGTGAATATACAGCTACCCACGTGTGTAGCTGAAAAATCCTCATGGGACGTTTAAAAATTGCACATTCTTTCCAGAAAATATTTCTGAAGAATTGACTCTGTGACACGGTGACAGTGTACACAGCCACACAGCGAGGTGCTGGGAGCACAAGCATCTGTCACCCCTCAGTGAGGTGCTTGAATGGGCAAGGCAGCCGTGTGTCACACATGGGCCCTGGGGAAAGTGCTCACGGATGCGGACACATCTGTGGATGCGTTACTTGACCCATTCGGTCCTAGGACAGAGGGCAGGTGACTCTAGATAAGAAGGACACAATCCCTCCTTGGGTAGAGAGGTCGGGGTCTGTGTGATATACCATACATGAACGATAATTAGCTAGTGTTTTTGCTTATCACAAACATAGAAAATCAACGCCTGCTGAATGGCGGGGGGAAATTTCTTTATCGTGTCGGCCATACCCACAGGTTGTAGTCTGACAAGACTCAGCGCTGGAGCTCCTCAGAGCCCCGATTTGACAAAGACAATGGCGTGGGGAGGTCCCAGTGCCACTTTGGGGGAACTGAAGAGCCCGGTATCCGCCTGTGCGTGGACAGGGCTCCAGTGTGGGCTGGAGCGCGCACCATTAGGAAAATGTTCTCCACGGGTTCCTTCTCATTTCCCTACAGAAAGTAGCGGTAAGGCACACTGTCTGCTGAGTGAAGAACGTGAAATGCACCCAAACAGGGCCAAATAGTCCTTCTTCCAAACCCCTCACGTTGATTAGGAGCAGATTAACTTGTCAGGTGCTCTAAGGAGGGCCACAGAGTTTGTGGTCTGGCACAGCTGGATGCTGCTTGTGACAAACAGGTCTAACCACCCCTTGGGGCCACATCCAAGGAAATGGCTTACATTTCCTATTAGAAACTTACTCTACAATTTCATCACAAAACCCCAATTATGGTTTCCCAAGACCAGAATTACCAACAAAACAGCAATGGATTAAACTTTATCGGGTTCACCATCTTCCCTTCCTTTATCATGAAAAGTGGACACCAGCATGTACTTCAACGGCTGAAAAAGCCCATCCCTGGAGTTTAATTAAAGGGACCGACTGTGTGATTGGGACGTGTTTAAGTTTATGTGAGGGATTTAGAAGGAGCATAAAACATGGGCTGTGCCTTAAAGCCCAACACTATGAATTAGTTCACACAATCGCACACAACACGTTGAGTCCTGTGCCTGGTAGTAACACACACAGTAAAACGTCACAAGGCAAATGCCCTCATGAAAAATGGAGAAAGGTCCGTGGAAGCTGCCCTGCAGAGCTGACGTTCGAGTTCAGTCTTGGGGGTGGGGGGGCAAGGTGGAACTCGTCAGAAGACGGGAAGGGGATGAGCAAAGGCATTTTAAGGAAAAGAGGCAGCTGGCACGAAGACAAAATTCTGGAGAATAAGGCGTAACCGTTGATGTGATGGCCAGGGAAAGAAATAATGCAAAATAACAATAACAATACAACACAGGATTTGTTTAAAAAAAAAAAAAGGCAGGTTCCTAAATTTCATAAACTGTTGGTTCACAATAAATTTTTGCATCTTTTTCCCCCTTCTCATGAATTTGGCCTTATTTAACCTCTATGGACAAGCCGATTGGAGAAATAAAGAAGCAGCCTCCCAGAGAACCTGAAAAAGAATCTTCCATTTTGCCCGTGTGGTTCCAACCTGTCATCCATCCATCCAGTTACTGCATCACAAATACAACAGAGAAACGACAGTCGCTTAGAATACAGTAAAGCACAGACCGAATCGCGGAAGGCGGGGAAAGGACAGGAATTCTTACTTGTCCCGAGGCCTGGCTGAACTCTCTGCAGACTCTGGGACGCTCTGTCGAGGAGAGCGGGTATGGCTGGAAGAGAAAGAGAAGAAAACCATTAGTCGTCCCTGTAAACCTGGTCTGCTGTGGTCTCCCCTTTGAATGACACCTCACCCTCAGATGATGAAAGGTGGCTTCGGCCAAGCTGCCCACCTCTAAAAACAACCCCTCGTGAATGTCAGAGCAAATGGAACCATTCTGATCTTCGTCACCTCCGCCATCATCCTAGACACAGGCAGGAACAATGAAAACAATGTCTCCCTAAGTCATCTGAGTCCCGACTTGAGTCTTGCTTATGAAAAAGAAGAATATCCATTCTTATTTTTTTAAAAAGTTCCTTTAAAAATTTTTTTAGCAATGACCATGTGAGCAGTTGTGGGAGCAGGGAAGGAATGGGGGGTGCAGTGAAATGCTAGACAAGAGAGACGCAGAACGTTATGATGTGGGAGGGGCAATGGGTCATCTATTACATAAGCGGCTGTGAACTTACTGATACCGGGATGGGGCTGCACCGAAAACAGAAAGAACCGAAAAGGAGCAGGGTAGTGGTCACTGAGCTGCTGAACTGGGTTGCTTCGCAGGCATCTGAACTACAAAAGTTTGCAACTTATCTGGGGAAGAAGGGGGCTTCTCTGGGATTCCCCACCTCAGCTCACGTCATCTACGGGTTATGCTTAGAGAGCAGTGTGGTCCAGGCCCACCGCAAACACCGAGTGTGACCTCACAACAGCAAAAAAAATGCGCTTTTTGTCCTAGGTAGAAACCAGTAGTAACAATGCTAAGAAATGCTCTGTAATACGGAAAAAGGAAGGAGAAAAGGAAGATGTGTGGGCAGTGAGCAAACCTGCTCCCTTCTCCCTGGATTTCTGACTTGGGGGAAACCCGCCCACCTGTTCTGATACACGTTTCCACGTGCTTTTCCATACCTCCCCCCTGCCTGGCTACACAGGCCTGGAATTCATAATACAGAACCTTAGACGCTACAGAATTCTAACCCCTGTAAGTTTTTCCAGGCTGGGCACATTGGTGAGAGTTCGTTTCCAAGTAAAGTTAAGCTTTGTGGGCTTGAGTGAATTAATGTTTTAAATTCTACATGACTCTTAGTTCTGAAAATGTTTCTTTTTTATTCTCCATTGAGATTTTACCATGAGCTTCATTTGTAGAAGCTCATTTACTCCCAAATGCAATAATGAGTCATGACACAAAGATAATAAACTATGCCTTGATTTGAATGTGACCAGAAAGGAAAACTGCATTTTAGGACGATCCCTCCAGCCCACTCACTGCCTGGATACCCTAAGTCTCTAGCACTGCCACTGTGGGGAACCCGTCCGCCACCCCCAGCTTCTTGCTAAAATCAGAGCATGCTGTTTTACTACCGCATACTTTAACTTGGACCCTAAAACATAAAATATTTTTGGTTCAGGTTTGGCAACTGTACAGAACTTCCAACCGGGAACGACCTGAATCACTGACAACTGTGTGCGCCTCAAAGCTCAAAGGGAGAGGACGGTCAAGTCCGTCATGGTGTGGCACACAATCCTACGTGTCATCTGGGTCAAAATTACCCAGCAAGTTTGTCTCAATTTGCAGCTTGAAATTGAGCAGACGGACAGGCCCCAGTTGCCAGGCTCGGCGCAGCCCGGCTGCCACGCTTCCCCAGGAGGGCGACTGAGAGGAACGTGGGGGTCAGTTAGGAGGCCTGGGGGCGGGGGGGGGGGGGGGAGTGCGCAGAGCAGGCCTGAGGCCTGGAAAAGCGTGGGGAGCGCTGGCCGCTCGGCTCCTCCCAAACCGGGAGTTTGCTTTGCATGCAGACAGACATCTGGTGCTTTCCCCTTCCTGGTGTCAGTGTTTGGTAACATTTTCGCGAAGCAAAACTTCTCACTCAGCCAACACCCTCCACAGTCCGTGGTGAATCAAGACATGAAAGGACCGGCTGACTTCCTGGGGGGACCACAGCCTCAGGCCAGAGCTGAGAGGGCACTGGTTACCAAAGCGAAGCATGATAAACAAAATTGTGCCGTCTTTGCCGTCGAGGTGTCACGCTCAGCTGTCATTTCTAATTAGTGCCAAAGCTGTCCTCAATGTCTAGAAATGCTGAGCAGTGACAGTGAGGGGAAATGAATCACAGTGACAACAAGCAGAGAACCACAACCCCAGAGATTCGTAGAGGGTTTTTTTTAAGTATATTTTATTGATTATGCCATTACAGTTTTCCCGATTTTCTCCCCTCTATCCCCCCTCCACCCTGCAGTCCCCAGCCCTCCATGACCTCCTCCCCCGACTTAGTTCATGTCCATGGGTTGTACATGTAAGTTCTTTGGCTTCTCTGTTTCCCATACTATTCGTAACCTCTCCTTGTCTATTTTATACCTACCAGTTGTGCTTATTCCCTGTACCTTTCCCCCTCCCCCTCCCCACTGAAAACCCTCCATGTCATCTCCATTTCTCCGATTTCTCAAGAGAAACCTTGTGGGCGAAAAGGGGCTGGAAAGAAGTATTTGAAGTCGTGAAAGGCAAGGATCTATATCCAAGATGACTCTATTCAGCAAAGCTTTCATTTAGAATGGAAGGGCAGATAAAGCACTTCTCAGTTAAAGGAGTTCATCATTCATCAAGCCCTTATTATATGAAATGTGAAAGGGACTTATCTAAGAAATACAAGATCAAAAACTATAAACAGTAAAATGACAAGAAACTGACAGCCATCAATAATTGAACCTAAAAATCAAAAACCAAAACTAAGCAAACATGCAGAGGGGTTTCTAAATGCCCGTGTTATAAAATGAGGAGGCCACAGCCTCTGGCCTCAGTGAGCCCAATTTCTGCACAGGGATCATTAAAGGAAGGAATAGTCAGCCACACAGGTGCCCTTCCCAAGTCTGGACAAGCTTCCTGGGGAGGGTGACCCCTAGAGATGGGTGCTGAACTTGAGATAAGCAGGCAACAATGAGGAAGAGGAAGGGAAGTTGGGGCCCAGGCAGCTGCTGTGCTGAGGCAAGGCAGCCTGGGGACGGACGGGAGGAGCTCTGATCTGCTGGAGTCCCACTGCTCTAGGGTGTGCAGATGGGGAGAAGTGGGGGGCACACTGGGGACAGTCTTTTCACCCTGCAAACAGAACAGCTGCTTTGCATGTCCCGAGCAAAGTGCCTCAGGTTGGACCTGCCCAAGAACAGGGATCGGAGAGTGGAATTTATTGCAACCCAACCTTTCTTATGTATGTTTAACCTCGTACTCAGCTTCCTGACTATAGCATACATCTGGACCTTGGTCTGGGGACAGCAACAGTATGTAGGCATAAGGTTTAAACCAGTTAGTACATGCAGGATACTCAGTATACAGAACAGCAACTCCTTAGTAAATGTTGGAGAGTCTTATTGTTATCATTAGTGTTCTGACGTTATGGTAGCTGCTCCCCTGATGTGGCGTCAGAATTTGGCACCTTTTCCCCATGGAGCACTTGACAGCGTCTTCACACTAGACTTTGTGCACTTAGGACTTTGCACAGATGAGGACAGGATGCTGCCCCAAGCCCAGCATGACCCCCACTACCCGTGCAGGCCACGCGTGGGCAGTGGGACTCTGGGGAAGTGGCGTAGGTGGGGCAGGGGTGCAGAGCTGCCTGTGTCAGCCGGGCCTCAGTCAGCTGCAGCTCCTGGGAGTTGGGGGCATTCTCTGCTGCATCAGTGAGGAGCCGGAGTCGGAACCCGCCTTCTGGCCAGCATTGTGTCTGGCCACCTGTGCAGCAAGGCCATTCAGGATCCCCGAACACAGGGTGCGAGCCCAAGGCAGTGTGCAAGGCACTGAATAGGGCAACACTTTTACATGACGACGGGAGGTAGGCCAACGGCCTCACGGGACCTCTGCCCCCAGGTGAGCACTGGTCACAGTCAGCCATTGTCAGCACTGTTAGCTTAGGCTCACGGGGATGACATGTCAGCTGGCAAGAAATCTCTCTTGGAAGACATCCTCTGACTGTGGCAATCATTTTGCAATGTGTACGTATGTCAAATCATTACCTTGTACACAGACTGTTTTGTCAGCTTTATTCAGTAAAGCTGGGGGGCGGGGTGTCCCCTGAAAGGTTTCCTTCCTCCTCAGGCAGGGCGGATGTCCTTCACCAGCAGCCCTGGGTCTGCCCAGACAGCTCTGCTGCCACAGCATATCTGCCCATGTCGGGGATGCACAGCGGGTTCCCTGTGTCCCAGGCATGGCTACTTTAATCTCTAGAACACCTCTTAGGAACACAGGACATGGGACCTAGTAAAATAATAAAGTTTGCTGAGTAAGTGGGGCAGATGAAGATGAATTGAAGATGTTTAAACACTGGCTTTGGGTCCTGGCCAGGGAGCTCAGTTGGTCGGAGCATCGTCCCAAGGCTGCGGGTTCCGTCTCCAGCACGCACACAAGAATCAACCAGTGAGTGCCTCGGTGGGCGGAACAGCAAAGCGACGTTTCTCTCTCCCCCGCCCCTTCCTCTCTCTCTAAAATCAATTAAAACTTAAAAAAAAATACTGGTTTGGGGGCTAAAAGGTAAGCAAATAAAAGTTTCTTCTCAGCAAATTCTGTCTCTCTTCGGATTTCACAGTTTTGCTTGATTATTTTCTTGTCTTTTTGAAGTTCGTTTATCCTTGACCACATTCCAGAAATTTTTCCCGCTTGGATTTCAACCTCTAAATTGCAGGCCCACTTTTGCCTTTCCCTCCTTCCTCTCTGCTAGGCTACAGCCACCATCACCAGAGTTTTCAGTTTAAAGTACTTGCCTGCCTCCAGCCTGACCCTGATGAAAGGGTCCAGTCCAAGCCCCCCGTCCGGTCACAGTAATGCCACGTCCCAGACCACCCCTTCAGACGGGGCTGGCTGATGGCGAAGGCAGAAAACGTGTGTGTGACGTGATCAGGCCTCACGTTCACTGTCACTTACAACGCCCCCAGGCACTGTACTGAGCACACTCCTCTGGGCTTTCCCGTTTCATCCTCCCAGAAACAGTCTGAAGTGGGTATCATCACTATTAGCTCCACTTCATGGTGGCG